GGGGGGGCAACACGCCCGATGGGGTTCACCCCCGTGCACCCCACAGAGGACTGGGGCGGCACAGGGGAGCAAGGGCGGAGAAGAGCGGGAGGCAGGCGAGGCGAGAGGGGATCAAACAATTTCCGATCTCAGCCAAACCTGTCACCTGCCTCATTTTCATTAAAACGTACATGACGCGTTTTTCTTCCCCTCTTTTCCCCTGTTTCCCGCAGGCAGAGACTTCATATACGCCATGCCACCATGGCTGGGCCATCTTCTGACATCTGAATCTTATATTCCTCTCAAAACCCCGATCTGGTTATGTGAGCTCGCTCCTGCAGGCACACGGGCATGACGGTTCATGCTGCATAAACGATAAATACCACGACGGATCTCCCGCTGAAAACTCTGTGCTGCCTCTTTTTAGGATGCAAAAAACTGTTGATTTTTTCAACTGCAGTTTTGAGTTACTTTGAATCACAATTTTTGTAGCATGCAAAGAGGCCACACGCACTTCGGCACTGAAAAGGGAATGCCAAAGTTGTTGTTTTTTGTTTTTTTTGCGTGCAGTGTAAGCACCAAGTTTTGAGTGCATGGTGGATCCGCTGGTTGGGTCAGCACGCTGCTGGCGGTGCACACAGCTTCCGAGAGCCTCCACTGCGACCGACAGTTATGGCCGCGTTGATTTATCCCGGGACTTATCCGCCGCTGACCCGCCGCACATTACGTATTGGGTTCAAACACCAACCAGCCCACTCTACATTTCTCTGCCCCCCTCCACCCTTTTTTATTTTTTTTGCTCCATTTCTTCTCTCAGCTGTGCGAGTAAAGGGGGGCAGATGCGGGGAAACGAATGGCGCGGCAGAGGTTCTTCTCTCTTTCCCGCGGCACCACCGCACCACACGAGGCGCTCCTGCCTGCTGCCGACGACTCTCGACCCAATCTTATTCGAACGAAACGGAACACCGCCGCCTCTGCCTCCACTCGCAGGCTAACGGCGCTGGAGCAGCAGCAGCAGCAGCGCCAGCACCATCCCCCGCCCACCAGATCTGCCGGAAATGATTCCACACAAAGTTTTTCGAGTGGCTGCGGCGGAGCGCGGGGCGGGGCCCGGGGCCGCCACCAGCGCGGGGGGGCACTTAACCTGAATAATAATGGCGAATAAGAATGGTGGATTTGGGGCTGGCGGCGCGGCGCGCTCGCTGTCACCGCGGCCGCACCCCCGGGCCTCACAATGACAGCGTCCATACGGAGTGAATGCGCGCGCTGCTCGCTGCTGCCGGCCCAGAGCGGCGCGGCTCCATCTGGGCACTCTGGCGCTCGAGAGCATGCTGTCACCGCCACCCCGGCCCAGCCCCCGCCCCGCCCCGCACAGCCATAATCGAATTATGCGAACGAGGGAAGAGGAATTGGGAAAAGTGGTAAAGTGCGCCGAGGGGGGAAGGGGAGAGTGAGAGAAAGAGAGGGAGAGGGAGAGGAGAGGGAGAGGAGGGGGAAGGGAAGGGAAGGTGAGTGTGATGCCGAGGGTGGGAGCGGACCACAACGGGGCCAGAGCGGGGGCGGCGGGGGCGCAGAGAGCACCACTCCACTCGGGGCGTGGGGCTGTCTGATGCGGCCCTAATCAAAGGCCACGGCTGCCTGCACCGCCCAGATAAGCTACAGCAGATCAGCCAGAGCAGCGCAGCAGCCGCCAGCAGCAGCCGTCCGTCGGAAAAGAAGCCGAGCGGGCGGGCGGCTTTGGGGACGGAGATGGGGACGGGCGAAAGGCGACCGAACCCCTGTGTCGTCTCACTTCCCTCTCCTCGTCCGTCCCGCGCGGCGCCCGCCTCGGCAGAGAGGCCGCCGTTTCCAGATGGGCGCGCCGGATTGGCCCGAGCCGGAGACGTCTCTCCAGCCCCAGCAGCCTCGGCTGCTCCAGGCCGCTCCAGCCCAAATGCGCATCCGTCCGGCCTTAGGGGGAGGGTTTAGTGGCGCTCGCTGGGCGCTCGCTGGCGCCGCACGCGCGCGCACGAAGCGGCGGCGGGGGGGCCTTTGTGGCGCCGCGCGCAGCCCACACTCTGCCAAAGTGCGTGACGGCTCGCCAAAAAGCTGGCGAAACATGAAGGCGCAGTGTGTGCACCGCGCGTGGCTTAAAAAACCAACCAAACAAAAACCAAACAAAAAAACGACTGCCAGCCACATACTTGTAGATAAATAATGAATGTGCTGTACGCGCAGGTGCGTGCGTGGCTGGCACAAAATATAGGGTGTAGTCATCTCGTACACCCAGCCCTTTGAATGTTTTTGCTAAAATAACCAAGCTGCTTTGGTAGAGTTTGTCATACCTGCTGAAAACTTTGGTGGACTTCAAGCAAAACAACAATATTGCTTATACATAGTACAATATTAGCAAACCATCAAACACCGTATTTTTGCGTGTTACGGCGCCGATCCACGGGCAAAGTAGCCAAGCCGCCCACTCACGTGCGTACGGCACAACACAACTACTACAAAGGTGCACCCCAGCACCCCTCCCTACACTCGTCGCGCAAAGTTGTTTAGTGATTCCACTTGACTCGCGCCGCGGGCCCCGCCACAGCCAGACGACACGACACTCACATTTATATTTATTCGGCACCGGAAACGCGCCGCGCCGCAAATTGCCACGCGCTGCCGGTGTGTGCGGCGGGGCCTCAGGCTCAGGCCGCGCAACCGGACCGACCAGGCCATCAGCGAGTCCGGGGCTCCGAAAATAGAAGAGACGCGCCGCGGCGGCTGGTTACATACGTACACCCATCGCAAAAAAGATGTAAAAAAGTATTTTTTTTCTTTCATTTTTTTTTCCTTTTTATTTTAGCAGCCGCGATGGAGTTTGCTTCAACCATTACGGTCTGGCTCGACCGAGCCCCCCGACCGGACTGGCTGCTGCTCACCGCGCTGCCACGCTACGGACGGAGCCCGGCGGCGGTGACTCAGAGGGGATTCATTAACGACACGAGGACGACATGGAGACTCGGCCGCAATCAGACGAGAACCAAACTGGAAATAGCGATGACAACGGCGGCGGGCGCGCCGGGCTATCCGGCTCCGGCAGGGTGAGGAGGGCAGGAACGGATAAAAGAGGCGGCACCGAACAACGCAGTGCCCCCCGAGGGAGGCGTCCCCGTCGGGAAGCCACCTCCCCACCAATGCCCCCCTCCCTCTACTACCCTACACGCGGGTTAACAGCCGGTGCTTTCTCGCTGAATGGCAGACGGTTCTCCGAGCGCTGCCCCTTTTCTCCCTTTTCGTTATGACGTGGATTTTGATTGAGTTTCGAAGTTGGAATTTTACAGCTCGATAAACATATACCGAGCCGTCCGTCGGAAATCTACTCACAGACACCGCTAACTCATCTCCTCCGGGATCGCCACTCTGGAGCATCATACTCACCTGGAAGAAAAAGAGAGAAAATAAACGTTAGTTAAATGCAAAAAATGACTCCAACAACAACGACAAAGAACAACCACAGTTCAAAGTATATCAATAATAAACAAGTCTAGACTTAGACATGCTACAATACTAATCAGGCATGCACGAGTGTCGAGTGAGCGCGGGACAGTCCGTCCGTCCGTCACTCAACACCGTGTGACGTTCGGACTATATTCGACCCCGTACCGTCCGTCCCCGTGTCGCAACGCGAGCCCCGCGCCGTCCAATGTGCATCGCCCCGACCATCACTGCCCCACTGCCCCCCCC